CAGCACACCTGTGTGTAGAAGCTTTCAAAATCTAAACAGAATGGGATAACAACATCCTGATTATGAAAATAAATGGTTCGTTAATTTGATTCTTGTTGATGCTTTATTTTTTCCATTTAAATTTAAAAATATTTTATTATTTTTGTTTTATGTATATGAGTGCATGCATCTATGTGAGTGCACCTGTGTCATGCAATGCTGTGGAGGTCAGAAGAGGGCTTTGGATTCCCCTGGAACTGGAGTTAAGGACGGTTCATAGTCGCCACATGGGTGCTGGGAACCAAACCCGGGTCCTCTGCAAGAGCAGTCAGTGCTCTTAACTGCTGAGCTATCTCTCCAGACCCCCATTTAAATTTTATATTGCCCAAGAAGGCAACATATTATGTCAAAAAGAACATATGGTTTGAGGTGAAACAGATTTAGGCTGGAATCCCACTTTGCTTCTTACTTTGTGGTAATGTTGGGTAGGTTGTGAGCTTTCTAAACTCCACAGATAAAAGGTATAAAGAGAATTGGGCTGATACTGGGAGTCGAAAAGTCTGGCTAAATGCAGCCATTAGCATAGGGGGCCGGTTCTGCTAACTGCTCTGCAGACTTGAGCTCTCCTCTCATGCTGTCATGTACAGCCCCTGCTCAGAGTCAGCACCAAATGAACGCTCCCTCCCATTTCTTATATGCCAGCTTTTCCTCTAACTTAAATAAGAACTGGTTTTTACCACAAACCATGTCATGGGGTTGCCTGCTTTCTGAGAGTTGGTGTCTCACTTCATGTATCAGGTCAATGGTGACTCTAAAGACATATGCATGTCTTGACTCCCAGAACCTATGACTATTGCTTTATGTGGGATGAAAGAAAGATTATCTTTGATTGGAAAAGCTAGGGTTAGGCTGTAGCTCCTGAGGAGTTTATCCTGGATTGTCTGGGCCAGAGGGAGTTTCAGACATGCACCGTGCACACAGAAGATGCACATACACAGTCTAGGGGACAGAGATGGAGGCAGAGATGGAAATGACAAGGCCATGGACGCCTGAAACTGGAAGAGGCAGGGAAAGATTCGTCCCTGAAAGTTCTGGAAGGAGTATGCTCCTGCTGACTCTCGATTTTAGGCTTCCAGCTGCCAAAACTATGAGAGAGCAAATTTCTGTTGTTTTAAACAGCTGGTGGTAGTTCATTACAGTAGTTCTAGGATACGGGTAACCGGTCTGAATCTGAGCAGGAAGACCAACCCTTTCATTTTCTCAGCGATGATTCTCCAAGAGAAACAGGCAGTGAGGAGCCTACATCCCGCCATGTGCCTGCACACTCCACCCAGCCTCATCAGACTCATTTCCTCACAGAATTGGGGTAGGGCCTGGCCCTCCTGGCTCATCACCACATGGAGGCCCTGGGGACCAGCTGTTTCTCCTGTTTTCTTTCTAGGGCCTGGAATTTCTTCCGATACAGCAAAGTTTTTCTTGAAGTTGAGGCAAAACTGAAAATGCAGATTCCTTTGTTATGCAACACTTCGACTTCAGCAGGAACCGCTGTGCTTGTGTAGTAAATGATTTTACTATAGTCCTTTCCTGCGTGTGGGCTTTGAGAGGGAAGCTAGCCAGGAAGAGTATGTGGTACCAGGGAGCTGTTGCTATGGTGAAAGCAGAACGAAAGCACAAGATGCAGAAGCCCAGAGTCCAGAAGACCCAGGCTTCCTCCCTCCCGAGGAAGGTCAGAGCCTGGGCCAACCTGGCAGATAACCTGGTCTGGAAGACCCCAGAGACCCTGTGGGTATCCAAGATCATCCACAGTGTATGGGGGATGAGACTGAAGACCAAGATTCTCATTGTTAGAGCCTGTGGATCACTCTGTATCGCATGCTCCCTTATTTGCTGCACAATCATGAAATGAGTTCTGGTCTATGCCCACCCCACAATAGTTGCTAGGCCAGAGATCTTGAGTAAGGGGAAGCTTCCCTGTTGTCTAGATAGAGAGCACCCTGGCCTGGATCCCCTGTTAGTAACTGGTGGGTTGTGACTGTTAGAAGGGCCACCTTGAGTCATTCTTTTGCTCAGTTATCCCTCCTGAAATGTTAGGGGGATGAGCTGAATGACTGGTTCTCAAACTGGGCTTCAGATCAGAACATCCAGGACATGTTTATCAGGTCATAACCATACCCATCAAACTGGAATCTCTGTGGGTTTGATGCAGGCATCTCCATTTCCCTCCATTTTACCTCACCGGAGATTCCAGCCCCTCCCTCCTGCACCTCCCAGCCATTTGTTTGTAGTTCAGTCCTAAATGCACATGGCCTTGTGGTCTCAGGAGGTGCTGTGGATGGTTCACTGAGAGGGAACTCTATGCAGCAATGGGAAAGTTGTCCTGCCTGCTGGGGTGAGACTTTGCAGTGGTGCAGCTGCTTGGGGTCACTCAGGCTCCCAGGAGTAACAACTCCTCACCATGTTTTTAAGGCCAATAAACTCATTGGTTCTGGGACCTTGGCGGAATCATACTTCGGTTTGTCATCCATAAGGAAAGGGTAAACATTTGTTTACATCTCCCCAGGGAAAGAATCCTTACAACACATTTAAACTTCTAGAAGAAATGTCTCTGTCAACATCTGCATGTAAACCTGTTCTTGGTTTCAACTCTCCAGATGTTGGTTTCATGGAACATCTGCATGTGAACCTGTTCTTGGTTTCAACTCTCCAGATGTTGGTTTCATGGAAAAATCCTTCCCCAAAACTCCACTCTCAGTTTTTCCAGAGTCATTTCACTTCATTAAATTTTTGCCTAATGATATAATATTAGAAATCTGCTCAGTTTATAAAACTTATTAAGATCTTTTCATGCTTTTAAGAAAGATAAGGAGGCCGGGTGTGGTGGCATACCCTTTAGATCTCAGCAAAGGCAGGCAGAGCTCTGTGAGTTCAAGGCCAGTCTGATCTACATAGTTCCAGGCCAGCTGGGGTTACAGAGAGACTCTGTCTCAAAAACCCAAAACAAAACAAAACAAAACAAACAAACAAACAAACAAAAAAACGATTAACAGAACTACTTGGGGATCATTTGTTAATCAATACTCCAGAACTTACTTGCTCTAAGTGGTACTCTGAGTTTCTGAGTAAAATAATGAATGTAAGCTAATCTCCCAGCAGTAACAAAGCCCTGTAACTGAGCAATATTATATTTAAGCTGGAGATCAAGAGGTGAAAAGTCTTTTCCTCTTGAGGATCTCCAGGTCTGAGGGGTAATAATGATAGCAGTAACAGCGGCAGCAGCCACAATGTGAAAACACTTCTTGTACCTCAGGCAATGTGGTAACTGCTTCTTAAGTATTATTTTAGGTCTTTGTAACAACCCTGCTACATAAACATTATTTCGTTTATTTTACTGAGGAAACTAAAGTCCAGAGAAGTTAGGTAAAATACCAAGGTCACATGGCTAAGATGTAGAAGCCCCTGCTATTCCCATCATACAGTCATTCCAGAGAGAAAGGAGGCAGAAATGTAGAGAAGGCAAGAAGGTTATGTTTATGGGAAGAATCCAGTTGAGGGTAGAGGAATTGCTATGAATTGCTCTCACGAAAAATGTTAGAAGGAAATAAATATTCTAAATTAATTATGTCTTGGCCTCATTCCTGTTAGAAGGCACCTCATTGGAACAGATTAATTCATTATGAAGGGCTAGCTCTGTAGTCAGGCCCTGCTCCTTCAAGTTAGTCCTCAAAAATAAACCTATTGTTTCTCAGTGATTGCACTGCTCAGCAGCATCGTTTTTCAGCCAGCGTGAAAGCCTTGGTTCTAAGCAGATTTCTTGCATTTGCTGATTGCGGTCAGTGGAACAAAATGTACAGAGAGGAAGGGGATGGGGTAAGGAGTTGGAATAAGCCCCTTTCCTATGGTGCCTCTCTCCAGATACAATGTGAACCAGGATGTTCTAAAGGTACACACACACACACACACACACACACACACACACACACACACACACAGAAAACCAGGTACTTTACAAGCCTAAATCCAAGCTATTATTGAGATACCTACTGAGCAAACATCATCCATCTGTAAAGCCAGATACAGACTGAGGGAAGGGAGCAATGGCCTCAATCAGCAAAGGGGAAAAAGAGAGAATGGGTTTTCACAGTGAGGCTTCACAAGCCACCATTTCCTGCTGTAGCCAAAACAAGTAAAACCACCAAAGGAACTTAAGATGCAAAAGAATTTCATAGCATAGAGAATGGATTAAACGCCAGATAATTTATAAAAAGGTTCTAGAAATGTTCATTATAGTTAAAGAGTGGACATTTCCTCCACATACATAGAACAAAATGTATAATTACACAGATTACAAGTGCATGTGTGGAGACATACTGCATATGCAAAATGCATATGTGTGGACCTGATGGCTAGACAGCTGATGATGATAAGGATGAGTTAATTCCACAGCAAACTTTGCCTGTGGAAAATCACTTCCATTCTGGAAATGATGGGTAAGAGAGAAACACTCTGACATTGCAAATAATATGTCACTCTATAGTCTTGAGTGAGATATTGTGTCAGCCTGACCCATATATGGGCCACGTCTCTCCCTGAAGGGAATCCACTGTCTTATGAAGCTGTAGTGATAAAATACTGGGTTTACAGGCTGGAAAGAAGCACAGGATGTATTCTTATATTACTTTCTTTAGTATACATTTAAAAAACAGCATGAAGACAACACTATCTAAAGTAGCTAATGCGCTTTAAACCCAGTTTTTAAAACTAAGTCGAAATACTTTAACAAGATATAACAAGATAGAAAGATCATAAGCTTATTATTTTCCAAAAAGCTTATTAAGTTATAAGTGAGCCTTCATAACAGATTTGTTTTCTAAATGAAATCTTCTTTCCACTACACACACACACACACACACACACACACACACACATACACACACACACTGGCGCCTCGCCTTACAACTGGAAATCCCTTTTGTTGCTCTAACAATGCCCAGAACCAAAGGACCTATAAAGCAGCATTTTACCTTTCTGTTGATCAAACATAGGAGAGGCGTTGAAATCCATGGTAGCCTGTCTCATCCTTTACCATCTGAGCAGCAAAAAGCATCCAGGGCTCTGGAGAGGAGAAAACACCATCTCACATGATGTAGTCAGCATGTCAGTCAGCTACAGCATCGCTGCTAAGGCTCCTGTTTGAGATTTAAGCATTCATTATAGCTGCAGGTTGCTGTGAAGGCCAGCGATAAAAAATAAATAAATAAATAAAAGAGAGAGAGAAATATTCTTCTCTAAAACCTGCAGGGGAGAAAGAGTTACTCTCAGCCCCATTCAGCTATACTCACGCATAAGTACTATACACCTCACCCCCAATTGATAGACAAAGCAGCCAGAACCCTAAAAAACAGTGCTCATGGAGGTGCCTGCCTTGAATCTGGGCCAAGAAAACGCTGCAGGTCAAGAGCTTGTTAGGCAGCTGGAACGTTGCTTTAACCCAACTGAAATCTCAATGGGTGAGTGAGGATTCACAGGGCCAGACAGAGCATGTGCGTAGCTGCCAGTGCAGACTGCGTTGGGCTGTGCTCTTGGTGGAGTGAGAGCTGCATTTGGGTCATGTGAACAGAGAGTGCCATCTCAATGGAATAGGACGTAAATATTGTAGCAGGAGGCTGCAGGCCACGTGTCCTGTGGAGCAATTATGCATCCCTGCAGCTCAGGGATCTTCAGCTCTCTTTGGAGTGTTCCTACTGAGAGGAAGGCTGGGGAGGAAGTGCTATTTGAAAGGTGGTATTTCAAGGCTCAAGTATTAGTGCCGGCAAAATGAAAACAGTCTGCAGTCACGAGGGTGTGTATTGCTGCATTATGTGTGGTGAAACCTGACAAGCCATCCAAATGTACACATTTGCAAAGCAGCTGAGTAAATAGTAGTAAATTCATCCTGTAGACTTAAAAATCTGAGGTAAGAAATATATGTGTGTGTGTGTGTGTGTGTGTGTGTGTGTGTGTGTATACTCATTTGAAGAAGGCATGTCTATGGCTAGATGAAACAATTTATACATTTTGTTTGTGTTTTTGTAAAATGTACATATCTCATTTGTGAATTTTGCATGGTACGTTCATGTGTGTGTCAGAGGATACATGTGCATGTGTGTATATTGGCCAGAGAGCACCCTCAGGAG